CTCCATTTTTTTAGGTTGAAAAAGTTATTGATGCCAATTCAAAAAATTCAAAGTATAGTGTTTATTTTTATGGTACAGGAGAAACGTAAGTAGCAATTTTTATAATGTCTTATTGTATTTAATAATGTAAAGTATATATATACGTATATAAAATTATACAAATATAATATATAACTATATATAAGATTTAAAAAAGCATTAAGATTTTTAAATACTTTATTTTAGAGCTGTATGCAAAGTAGAAGAGTTGTATACCTATTTAGAGAATAAAGCAAGATTTGGTAAACCAATTAGAAGAAAGTTTTTTCATGAAGGTTTATTGCAATTAGAACAAGAACTTAAAAATGACAAAAATAAAGCATCGGACCTTGCTGATCTTAAAGGTAAATATAGTATTATATGATATGCAACTTAAATGTATATAAGATATTAATTTTTATCCATAACTGAAGAAGTTGGAATTGGCGAAGGAGCAGGAAAAGAAGGTGATACAAATTTACCAACAGTTAGTGCCGCAGATAGTGATATGGAAACAGGACTTGTTATTGATGAGGAGGAGAAAAAGAAATCCATGAAAAGGAAGTCCGTTTCAGCTGCTGTAATATATTTTTGTATTTAATTATTTATATACCTAATCTTGCATATGATATTTTATTCGGAGTTTTTACTCATTATTACAATATTGTATAAGAAAACAATTATTGAATTGAGTACTCCAATAATAATTTAGGAACTGCCGACAAGTATTTATTAAGGCTGAATAGTTTGTGCGATTTTTCCTTACATTTATATACAATTTTTATTCTAAGAATAAAATTCGTAGTATTGCATTATGTTATATAGTATAAACAAATTCTGAAAAATTAGGATACACCTGAGGTTAAAAAGAGACGTGGGAAAGCAAAGTCTTTATCTGCATCTACAAGTGATTCAGTGAAACAAGAAGCATTGGATTCTCAAGGAGAGGAATCACCAAAAGAAGTTGTAAGCCGCAGCGGTAGGAAAATTAAGCCCAAACGGTTTGCTGACTTTTCAAGTTCAGAAGAGACAGATGCTACAACAGATAAAAGTGGTACATATCAATACCTTTGTTTAGACATAGCGTTTTGTTACAATTTTTGTTAATAAGTATTTTACACGTTGTAGATCATGGAAGAGGTCGTACTAAAGTTAAAACTGAAGATTCTAACGACCAAGTAACACCTAGTGCAGTGAATAAAAAAAGAGCTACTGTTGAAAGTAAGTATAGAGAAATCACATATATGGTTAATATTAAATTATTGACATTTAAACGGTATATATTTTATACACAGAAAAAAATAATTTAGGTGAAGCGCCCATATTAGAAGGTACTGTGGTTTCTGGTACCGCATCGTCGGATGCCCCGGGACGACTTCTATTGGCATTAACATTTGCTGGCGAATATGTAGGAATCAAATTAGACATGGATAAGCCAAAATCTTTTGAAAGTGATAAGGCTCAAAAACAATGGGACTGGTCTACTGCTAGAAATGCCATGAAATTAAAAGCACAATTGGAAAGCGGCGAAATTTTACCAGAACAAGTGAAAGATTGTTTGGATTTCAATGTACATGTCCCAGATGAAGAAAAGCGATTATTAGCAAAAGATGGAGCACTTCATCGTAAAACAAATAAACTGAGGTAGTAAAAATAATATGAATTTGACAAAATTTGTAGACCTTTAATATGGATGTATTAATTTCAGATGGCTTCGCATAGAAGCACAACTTCTACAGTTGGATGCTCAAATTAAATCCAATCTCGGATTAGATCGAGCATATCCGGATAAGTGTTTGCAGGCAATGGATGATATGTTATCTCTTTCAATTGATCCCTTGATGTTGAAAAAACATCCACATATTGTGGGAACTGTTAAAAGGGTAAAAAAAAATACCAGTTATCATTCTAGTGTTAATTCACTGTAATCCTAATTGAACTACTGACAATTTTCAGTTGAGACGATATATTGGCAATTTAGCCGATTGGAAATTAAGCGACGAAGAGGAGGTATTATACTTTCTCCATTTGGTTTTTGAAGAATAAAATATAATCTTTAGTATATGATCTTTTTATATTTTTTCTAAAAATTTATTTGTAGGGTGTTTTCAAACAAAAGGCAGAACAAATTAGACAAAAGTCTGAACATATATACAACAAGTTTAAGGTAATCATATTTAGCCAGATGCGTAATTTATACACGACTTGTACATGCATAAAATATCTGTCATATGATTATGTTTGAGATTTATGTTAAAATCTATTTGTTTCTTTTTTGTATATTTTCAATATGTAAATATAATTATATCTTATCTTTCACTAAACGATATGCAGGCTATGTTTACCATACCCGAAGGGCAATCGTTTTGGCAATCATTTTCCGACCAAGTGGTTCATTTTAAAGAATTAACAAAGGATATGTCTGAAGAAAAAGTATTTTCTCTAATGTCTGATCCTGCTTGTCCAGGTAAATATATAAATTCGTAATTATGTCTAACATATTGATTACTGCGTCAGTTCCGATTATTAAATAAGTTAGTTATTTGATATGTAAAAATTCTATTAATATATTTACACAGCAGCGCAGTAATCAGTATGTTAAGTTAATGTAGAAAATAAAGTTGTTTGTTAAAAGAGGGCTTGCATTTTTATGAATGCGAAAATAAAATTTATAGATGCAGTCGTATCAGGAGATTTACCTGCTGATGAGAGCGGTAGTCAACCAGATACAGATGCACCTGTTGAAGTTAAATCGGAAGAAGTGCCTACATGGAATGAAATTACAAAAGAGTCAGAGGCCAAGTAACATAGTGACATTTTGTATCTGACAATGTGAAAATTATAATTAATTCTTTTTTGTACTAATTTAGTGCACTACACGACATGAGTGTCTTAAAGTTGAAAAAGAATTCACTCTTTTCCGCTTGAATAGCACTTTCGGATAAATTTTGACCATATTTTATTTAATGGGTCTTCTTTAGTAAATTTGTTATCATAACTCATGTCCCTGGCAATAACTATAATCAGAAAGCCCACTATAGTGATGAACACTCTCGAATCTGTTAAAAATGTTAAGAAGATTGTTTAATTATAAAGCATTTTAGAGTAGACATAATTATTTACTCTATCTGATGAAACATTTCTTTAATAATTACAATTCCGTTTTCGTCGTTAAGTAATACCAAAAAAGAAAAAAATATTTCTGAAGGTGATACTATCTTCATTCTTTAACGTTTCGCTAATGTTGTGCTAATGTTGTCTATTTACGTAACATCAAATACCAATGTATATATAAAAGAAGGAAAAAATGGAAATTGCAATACTCCTCTATATGCAAAAATCAGAGACGTAATATGTTGTAGAGATTTACAATTGATTGCATGATTTATTAGTTTCAAACCAAAATTTCAATAACACTTATTAGAATTAATGCTTCACATTTTTAATTGCGTTTTCATGGCACTTTAAAGGCATAATTTGAACAATCATTTGAATAAAACGAAGATGCACGTTATTTCACTTATATAAATTGTTGGTGTATATGAGTTAAACATTTCCTAAAAATTCAAATGTGTTCACAAAGCTGCTACTATTACTGAATTGTACAAATTAGAAAAATAGTAATTTTTAAATTTCTGGAGAAAAAGACTTCTAGGCAATTTGAAGTGGGTGAATATTCATTTTGAGTAAAATTTTGCAGAGTAAAAGTTCTTTGAACTAATGTAGCTTATTGTTACAATTGCTTAATGTTACAATGAAAATTATAAATTACACTTTTATACAAGCTGAAGATAGAAAAAAATAGATATATTTATTTGCATTCAGTACTTTTTATAATTCAAGACACAATAATAGTTTAATCTCGTTCATTGTTTCATTGTAATGATATTATATCTAAATTAAGCACAGTATCTATCTTAATAACATAAATGTACTTTTGTAAACATTTGTCGAAAAAGAATGCTGTAAAGGTGATATTGTTAATAAAAACAAATTGATGTATTCTTTTTTGTCGAATGATGAAGAAACCATTCTTACTTTTGTTCATTTATTTTTTATGTACACTTTATTTATTCTTACGTTAATTCGGAGAAATGCCTTTGAAGTGTATTGAAAACGAAAAAGGTAAATGAATATTTTCTGTTCAAAGTTTTACCCTATATCTTTAGTTAGTTAATATGTTCTTTTTTAATAAGTATGTTAAGGTTTATTCCGTATCCTTTGAAAAAGTAAACGGATAAGTATGTTGCATAATTAAGGAAATATCATAGTTACTAAAGAGATAAATGTTTCTTTCAAATGTCAAGAAGCAAATATTTTGAATAAAAAACTTACTGTAGATTTGTATGGCTCTTCTAGAGCTTTTATAAATTTTTTCATATGATTTCTATCATCGTAATCTTTATATTTATAAGTGTTAGAAATTTGTTCAATTAGTATCGATCGTGTACGCAGTACTAGTAATAAATAGCATATCAAGTTTATTGCATGCAAAGTAATCGCATGTACTTGCGATACAATTTAATATTTAATGTTGTTTTTCATACAGAGCTATGAAACCAGACGGTAATCGTAAAATTGTTGCACTTACGTTTTATGTCACTAGAAATGGAACAATTATTTTTTGGAAAAAATGAAAGTGTTGGAACACGGAAATAATGAATTTAAAATAAAGTGATATTTAGTTGTTGCATACACAAAAGAAGAAGATAAAGTGTGTTGTCTACAAATTCCATGTTTGTTTACGAATAAGTGAAGATGTATATTGTTGAGAGGATTTAAAATTCATTTTTCGAGCATAAAAGGATGCCAAACAAACCCTTTTAGCCGCAAAATAGGTATCGAGTGACTCTGTTATTTTTACTTTTCTTCAAATTCGTCGGACTTGCAACGATTTCTTTGAAAACCCGAAGGGCTTTGAAGAAAAACTGCTCGGAAAACCTCGTATTTTTCACTGACTCTAAACTTGGAGTATTTTATAATTTATTTTCGGCTGTCTAATAATCGCATCGAATTTCATATTCCTACCAACCATATACAATGCAGAATATGCGTTCACGACAATTGTAACACGAATCATTGAAATTTGTCAAGCGGTGCTGGGTAGCTTTGCAATTTTTTCGATTTTACTCTATTATTGTATAAATGAATCAACTTTTCTAAAAATTGGAAATTATTTGATTCATCTTGAGGGTGCTTTATGCCGGTTAAAACAACCACTGAATTGGAAACACATCTCTTACGTTTTGTCCTTTGTGTATTTCTTTAATTTCAGTTTATTTGTTTCTGTTTTTGTTACCGATATCATATCCTTTAACAGTCCTGTTTCATCCTTCGGATCTATTTTGCCTGCAATTCTTGTGAGTTTTTGTTTTATTCAATATTTTTCCGCGCTTAGTTTGACGAATGCAATTTCTATAAACATAAATTGCGCTATACAAGATTTTTATCGGTCTAAGTTTGGTGATATTACACTTAACACTTTATTTGAGACTCGACATGTGTTTGTTAGCTATTCAAAGATTCATCTTGTTGTTCGAATTCGAGACGTTCACGGTCAGCTTTGTGACATTACCAATGAAATTTCACGATTTTATTCTTTGCCCATCCTGATTACACTCTCTCTTATATTCTACATATTATTGTACAACGTTTACTACCTTTTTGAACCAATCACGGTTCGGAATGTAGGCGTGGATTATGTGATTATAGTAAATACCTTGCTCTGGATAATTTCTATGCTGTATCCTCTTGGTTTATTAACTTCCAAAGCGGCCAAAGTTACAAACGAGGTAGGAATTTGAATTTCCTCCCTTAAAAATGAATGTTCTAGGTTCTAGATAATTTTGTAAACTCTTTTGCAGATCGAAAAAGCTGAGAATCTCGTACACGCGTTGTTGAATTGCACGATTGACCGACAAATAAAAGTCGAGGTAGATGATAATTATACAATGTGATCGAGTCAATATTTCCGTTGTCTAACATTACATTATCTTCTAGCTCGAACAATTTTCACTTCAGCTGTTGCATCGGGAAATAAAGTTTGCAGCGAACCAATATTTCACATTAAACAATACGCTTTTTCAATCGATGAGCAAAGAATACTTAATTGATTTAATTTCTGCTAGAATATAGTAAGTAGTCACCTGTTTTGATATTTGTTTCTTGTTATTAGATATCGAGTACAGTGACTACGTGTATGGTAATTCTGATTCAATTTCAAGTGGCGACTTCGGTTGCAGATGCTTACCCCTTCAATTGCACGCAATGATCATCGTAAGAATAACGTCATTTCGAACGTCGGATACTGTTTCTCGTCGTTGAAAACCTAGAAATAATAGAAAAGGGAGGATGCTTAGGAAATTGATGTAGGACGTGAATAAGAGCTCACTTCTGCATTTTATGATCGAAGCTTACAAGCATTGGGTAAACATGTAAAATGAAAATAAATCGAGAAAAAAATGAGCTTTGTGGGTAATCAATATTGTATTTGTTTCTTTTTCTTTTTTCATCAGGATTTATCAGCAATTCCGTTAAGGAGGACTAATAATACATCGATTGCATGCATGGCAGCGAATTATATGATTGCAACTGATTATATACATTGTTGCTCGCAATGAGTTTCCTCGTTTGTTCGTATATATACACACATTTATGACCACCGAAGCAAGTGTCCAAAGTGTGTATATTCTTTATACGAACTACAGTTAATCATTAAGGAAGTTATTTGTTACGTACACTTTTATTCATGATGAAAATTGAATGATGTTCGATGCGATGTTATGCGAGGATAAACAACTCCGCGTATATACGCTGAACTTATTGCTCGTAACAAAATTCTATTTCAGTACCTAAAATAAATTTCTACGCTTTCAACTTCGGTATCCATTTTTATCATTAACGGTATTCCGTTGCAAATAGATACGTTGGATAGGAAACTAGGTCTTCTAAACACGGCGCGGCACACTCTCGGGATATCTTTGTAAAAAGTTGCAGCAAATGTGTTCGCGATTTTTAAAAAATATGTAAATTGAAAATATAGCGGAATACCATATCACGCTCATTCACTGCTCTGTTATTATAATTTGTTACGCGAACCTTTTAAAGCAGAATTTTGTTTACGTCGCGTAAGATTTACAAAATTGTTGAAATCACTGTTCTTTCACTAGGAAGTACTTACACATCATCCATAAAATGTTCAAAATTCTAATCACAACCATTTAAAATACTATAATGACGATCGTAGCCCGTTAGCTTATGGCAAACATGTGTCTGAAACGGGATCGAGAACGCTCGCATGCGCTTCTATAATTTCTTTCCCATTGCGAGCGTGTATAGATCTGCGAGCGGATTTCTTTCTTAAATTTATACAAACACACGTAACATCAAGACGAACGGCTGCTTCGTATCGTACTTTGCTGTATGTATAATACATATATCGATAGAGATGTTCCAATATATGTTGTATATACAGGTGGAGGCCTATTAATGCCTCTTACCTCTCTTTATTATTAATCTATAGTGCTACTATCTCATCTTCTCACTAAATACGAAGACCTAATCTCATTTATCGACGAACTTATCACGCAGTTCTCGAGCGGATTTGCAAATCCTCGGAGGTTTATTCCAACGTGTAATAATCTGATAACGTGTCGCTTGAAAAATATCGTATGAAATTATTCTCTTCTAATATTCTCGCACCAATCGGTTCGTTTCCGTGTCTGTGTCGGTTGAAAACCGGCGAAGAAGGAGAAATAACAGCTTATTCGTGTAACGATCCGCGCAATGTTCTGAAAGACTGCAGTACGTTAAAAATCTCATTATTCCTTTTTTCGAACGAAAAGGACATCCTTCAAGGGACGGCGTTACGCATGGAAATTCAGTCGTGCTAAAATTTCGATAAAAAACATGGAAAACTCTTCTCTAATATCCTTGCGTACGAATTTTTTCTTCCACACAATCGAATTTTCCTATTCTCAGCGTAAAAAAGATGCTGTACATTTACCGTATAACGAATATATTGTCGCTGTTGGCCGGTGTCTGACGTGTATTGGAAACTCGAACAATTTTAATAAAATCCAATCGTGCTAAAGGAATGTTGTTAATGTTGCATGAGCGTTGGTGAAAAATGAGTCTCGTCACTAGGAGTAATACCGACCTTTTCGGCGCTTTCTCTACGATCGACGACGCGTATCGGTCAAGCTCCTCTGCGAGACATCCCTCGAAGGAAACGTCGATATATCCAAAGGGGTTTTCTTGGCGTACTTTCTATGGGCACAAACTACTTAATTCATATAATCGCTAGATTACAAGTATACGTTATTGCGCACTGACAAGAATAGATTCGAGATCCAGCGATGACAATTCACGCGTCGATTTATCAACAAATCCAATCTTAAATCTAGATCGCTCTACTTTAAGTTTCAATGATGTGTGCGTTTCTTTTTTCTTCCTTTTTTACGAATAAAAGGTTCACGACAGCTACATCTAGGTATCCGTCAATGGCGTTTGTTAATTGTACTCGTCCAAGCTACAACGCGATGAAATTAGATAATCTCGCGTGCAATTCCATTTCCTATAAAATATTGTCCTTGTAATAACTTTTCTCGACTGTTCCTGACCACTATGATCGCGTTTACCATGACTGGACGATAACGCGTACGAGGAAAATCAAAACGTGCTTTGTACCGTTTAAATTGGAACTAAAGGAAAACAGAATCTTCGGAATCGTTCAAAGATCGAGTGATCGTTCAAAGATGATCGCGAGCGTTCGTTCCCAATGTAGCGTTGTTTTTGTTAGACAGAAGTCTCGGCCGAAGTAGTGCCGTTAATCGTTAACGGGCTGATGCTTTCCTTCGATCGTATCAAGTCTACCTGAAACGATTAAATCAAACATTCCGCATAATTTCGCGAAGCGCATTAACGAGAAGCCAATCGTTTCAAACAAGCATCTACGTACATAGAAATCTTTGAATGAGCCGCGATGACGATTATTCGTTCCGACGATCGAACTCAACCACTCGTTACGGTTGTAAAAACTATATGTCACGGTAATTACGTTATCGCAACTGATAATATCGCTCCGCAATTTCTCTTATCCATGGATGGATACGAAAAATTACACTCGACTATCGATAAATGCGTGCAAATGATAGATCAAATATGAAAGTGCGAACAATAAAATTCAACACATGCAAAAATGAAATTTTGCTCGATTCTATCTTGATAATTGGACATATAGAAAGAAAATCAAGTCCACTGATATCTTTTCTGTTGCTTTCTATTTTGATACTTATTGGCGAACACTGCATGCTGCAACTTAACTATGCATCGGATACAATCGAGAATGGATGCGAAAGTAGGTCTTCTTCTCTATCAGAGTCGTCGTTGTTCCTAAGGACGGATCTATCTAAGACGACTCCGAGGGTTCCGTGCAGCCCCCTTTTATATTCTTACTCACAGTAGCGTACAGGGGGTATGTTGCATGCCGGTGTATTGGTGCTCTTGCTGTGTGACTTGCCATGTGATTTATCAGTTTGGTGATCGTGGTGGTAGTTAGAATTTAGAGTCATTTACGTTTGTCACCTTGATAGAGATTCCACTGTCATCTTCGTCCTCTTCGGTCATCGTAGTCAGCCTCGTAGTCTCGTCAGCCATCAACAGGTTTTCCTTCTTCGAGTGCTTCTTCTGCTTTCCCGCGCTAAATTCCAGCCAAGTTAACAACGTCGTTTTCACGTCGTTAATCTATCTACATCCTAATCGACTACACGTACTTGATAAGTTTCACTTGTTTCGTTTTCTCGTTGCTTTCGTTCACTTGTTGCCAAATCCCGGTTTTATTCACCTCTTCGCTGATATTGATGCTCGCCATTGGGATCTTCATAATGTTGCCGTTCGCTAACGAAATCTGTATGTTTCCCGACGGTCCGTATGCCATAGACTCGTTCTGTTCCTAAGGGACAAATCGTAAACTCAACTTTGCGCTTTATTCTCGTTGGTCTCGGAAAAGAAAATAAACCAAGCCATGCATTGAACTCGGCAAAACTCTCGGCACTACCGTACTCCACAGACCTCGAAGAACGGTGGATTTGGGTATAAAAGGAAAGCGATATTTCGGTTAGCATCGTCCGAGCTGGAAAGGAAAAAAAAAAAAGACAGAAAATGAAACTTGCATTCGGCTGAGAACGAGCAGGTATCGCGTGGAAAAGTAGCCTTCGTGACTCGTGCAGAGTCGAATCACCTCAATTGTTTTGTTACTTATTAACGATACCAGAATGACAGTATCGATAGAACGAATCGCTGGAACGATGGACGGAGTCTATGCCATCGTTGCCGCGATCGCGATCGTGATCAAATTTGTTATATCGCAGTGCACGACGTCTGAAGTTCAGCGTAATAAAGGTGTGATCTTCAGCAGGAAGGTAGATACAAATGTAACAATTATTCTCGAGGTCGAGGAACTATGGACGTGCGCTTATGGTCACGTACCGATGACAGCCGCAGGATTCGACGACCACTGGTACCTTTATGTCTCTGGCATTCTTTCATTTCCACATCGACTTTCCCCTGATTGTCCGATTTTCTGAGAGAACTTTATCTTTTTACCTTTTCCTCTCCCTCTTTTTTCCCCACAAAAAAACGCGCGTGTCTCCTTAACTGCGTATTTAAGTTATGGTGTTTGGATCTTGTGCTTGGAAATAATATATATCTGATAAAAAGACGGATACTATACGCGAGAACAGCGAGGAAAGGTTTCTGTTCGATGCTGAAGGTCCATCTGATCTGATGTGTAGCCTGGTATCTTACACGTGTCGGGAACTTAGGATTGCATGCAAACGGGGCGTGTTTGACTCGTGTGCTATGTGTCAAACGTGTCGGTAAATGCTTCGTAAGGGAGAGTTAGGATTACATAGAGATTTGTGTGTGTTCTTAAACAATAATGTATTTTCATATGTTAAGGTAGGCAATCTGTGTTCGACGATACATCGAGCGGATACATGTGTGTCAAATGCTTGTCGAAACATTGGCATCGTTATAGTTTTGCGTGTGTTGTCACGAACTGGTAACGACGTTTCGTATATTCAATTAAAAAAACAAAAAGAAGATTCGTCCGCGTTTTAATAAAATCTGGTAGG